ATCATTCCCCAGAAGAAAAGAAATGCTAGAATTCTAAGGCTTAATTACTAGTTGAGAAATAATATAATTATAGCAGACTTTTGTCAGTGACCCATCCATATCCCTTCACATCTAATCAGTTCAGTACATACAGGCCTGACTTCAAAATGCCAGCCCCTGCATTTCTTTGATTAAGGGCTTCTTTTTATTATTGCTGGAGCCTGCTTTGCCACACAAGTGGCAAAACAAAGTGCCAGGAAATTAACACTACTACCAGGAACAGTCTTCAACTAATAACTGATGGGAGTTGGTATAAAAATACTCCCGCTCCTCACCTCTCAAAAATGTGTTAAAACTGAGATTTGTATTTTACACTGGCTCACCAAGTTTCCCCCAGCAATATTAAGCTTCAGTCTTGCACAATAGGAAGGAAGTTGCTTAAGTTGCTTAACAGTAAGTTGCTCACCCTTTATTGACTGCCTTATGAATACCTTATTATGTATTGGCACTTCTTACCTAATATTTCACCTAATCATCTCTAGGGTTATTTAAGGTAGATCAAAAAAGAGGAATCTGATTTAACTAGTTTAAGAGTAGCCTTGCTTAGGGTTATAGAGCAAGCCACGATTATAATATGTGCATGTCCAGAACCTGTGCTCCTCTACAAAAAAAAACAGAACATGGGAGAAAAAATTCCATTCATATTACAGTCTAAGGACTATATCTCGAACATACAAAAAACATAAAATCCTATTATCCTTTCCAAAGGAAATTGACTTTTTTTTCTACTTCTACTGCACACTAGCTTCTTAACTGAAAGTTATTTTTAAAGTCTATCAGTAATGTCGTTACAAATTAATATATTCCCTACATTTTTAGAGGGAAAGAAAAATAGGCAAGTCAAATATACATTTAAAACAACAATAGTAACGGTAATGGCTAATATGAGTGCTTTCCAACTTTCTAAAACAATTATATTCCTTCACAGCTAATTTCCTGATCAAAGTGAAGAAATCTGTTTTTCCTATCAGATATAAATTCAAAGAAAAATAAAAGACATATAACAATAATATAATCTAAGATTTTTAAGATAAATATAATACATTTTTACTTACCAATTTTTAAAAATTACAAAAGTTAAATATTATAATAAAATGTTACTTTTAAATGTCCATATTTTGGCATATCTCATTCATTTATTCACGAACACATATTCATGTAGGGTCTAAGATGTACAAGATACATCTTGTGGCCAGTTTGGTATTACAGACAAGGAAAGGAAGGGAAAAACATCAAGTAAAGATAAAGTGACTGCAGAATGAAATAAGGGGGAAAAAAGTACATATAGAAATTTCATAGACTGCCAACCCCAATTTTTGTATCTTTACAACTACATATTCAAATACAGAAACATCCATGCATTCAATAGGCAAATACCAGACAACCACGAAACAGAAGACAATGCTAGGCAGTGGGTACGCAATGATAGAAAGATCAGCACTTGCCCTCAAGTTGCTTAAAATTAAGTTGAAGTCAACTTTAGTATTTGCCACTCTGGATCTTATGATTTAAATTCAGAAGCCTTCATATGAAGACTACGAAGAGATAATGAAAATTTAATTGTGTTAGCACTCACTTAAAACTTTATATCCACAAAATGCATCTTTTTTACCTGCTATTTTATGTTTAAGGTTTAATGCTGAATTTTTTTACATTAAAAATACTTACCTATCGCTTCCTGGCCTTTTGGCTAAGATCAAATGTGAAAATATTAAACTACATTTTTTTTTTTCAAGATAACCGGTAAGAGGATCTTAACCCTTGACTTGGTGTTGTCAGCACCACGCTCTCCCAAGTGAGCGAACCGGCCATCCCTATATAGGGATCTGAACCCGCGGCCTTGGTGTTATCAGCACCACACTCTACCAAGTGAGCCACGGGCTGGCCCTTAAACTACATTTTAAACATGAGTTTCCAGAAATGTTGAGAATAAAATAAAAATAAACCAAAAAGAAAGAAAATAAACTTATCAGGAGGATAAATGTTTTACATTTAAAAATGAATTTAATAACATGAAACAGAATTGATTAATTCCAACTTAAAACAGAAACCATTTTTATACTCACACCAAAAAATACAAATAATTAAACGTGTGTTACTTGTTCTCAAACTTCAAAATTAATAAAATGTTAAGGAATAATCTTTCCCACAAGAAATGTATCAGTGTTAGCAAAAATAATCAAAACAAACAAAATTTAATATCTAATGTATGAGAAGGTGTATGAAATCAAGAAATGTTGGTTAGATTTCAAGTAGCAAAAAGAACCAAAAACCAAAAAACCAACCAACCTAAGCAATTATCAAATAATTTAGTGAATTAAAAAATTCAAAGTTATTATGTAGATTTAGTACTGTTTATTTATATAGATCAGATTAGTTTCACCTTAGAACAAAGTTTACTTAACTTCTAGAAATATAAATAATGGACTTTAATTACTAAGGCATCATAATATTAAAAGGTCAGTAAAAGCAAGAGGCTAGAAGCATATCTTAAAGAACTGATATTAAACCTTTTAGATTCATTATTTTCCTAAAATGTATGCCGAAAGTCCCTGAAGCCCCTCCAGTTGATTATGAGGAAAAAAAATAGCATGAGAAATAAACTTTCTAAACCAGAACCCAATTTTTTCTGGTTATACTTTATTTCAGTTTTACTCAATAAACTGGCAGAGTTGACAAGAAAAGAAATGGGATATATATTGTTTGATGTTATGTATAAAAATTTTTTCTCAATAGTTTGAATTTCCCATTTTTGTATGTTTTATACAAATATCTGAGCTTAGTATTCTCTCACTAAACTCAAAAAGAAAATACAGATTTTTTTTTTTTTTTTTTTGGTGGCTTACCAGTAAGGGGATCTGAACCCTCAACACTGGTATTTAAAACAAAATGTTTTGACCAATCAGTAATTGTATGCTTGATATACAAGAGATTAACAAAAATATAAAATGTGGTTTCTACCTTTAATAGGAATTGGGTTATTAAGATTAACAGATATACTAACAAACCATAAAGGACAAAATATGATTTCATGTCAAATTGTATGGCAGACTAAGTGCCATAGAAAATCAGTAAAAGAAAATACTAATGAAAATAGCATCATAGGTCAAAACAGTCTTGGAAGACATAATTTTCTTCTTTCTATTTCTAGCTTAAAAGAGACAAACCTGTCCATTAGCCCTTCTCAACAATAGCAAGAAAGTAAATACTTAACTTATATACTACATTGTATTAAATTAAATTAGTTCAAAAGTATTATAAATACAAAAACTGGCAAATTTTAGCTTATTTCAGAACACAAGTGCCTAATAATTCTTGTAGCTATAAGCACCAATAATGTAATGTTAAGCAGTATGGTACAAGAGAACAAGCATGAATTTACATATATGGGCAAAATCCTGGCTCCACCACTTATTTGGCTTTTTGTGGTGACAAAGTTACATAATCATACTGAGTTTTTTTCTTCTTAAGTGAAATAAAAATAATAACAGCTACCTCACAGGGTTATTGAAAGAATTAAATGAAATATGAAAAGTAAAGTAACTAGCACTAGTTACTTTAAATGCCAGACAGAAAAATAATCTGTGCTTAATAAGTATTATAGCCCCTACATTCAAACAATTTTAATTACAGTGATTATCAGAACACCAAAAGACTGAAATGCTCACTTTGCTTTACTTTTTATTTTTCACTATAAAAACTATTATACTGGTCTTCTACTTATTAGTAAAAAGTAGTATTTGGCTTCTAATTCTATAATGATTCTCATTCATTTCTGAGAATTTGAAAAAGCGATGGACTTCCTTCCCCCAAAATGCTACATATACACACAGTAATTCACATCAATTTGAGGACATTAGCAGAGTCCCTGAAAGCTAAATTAAAACTATGCTCTAACTGTCTATTTAAATTAAAATTAAGTCAGATTAAATAAAATTTAAAATTCAGTTCCTTTCTATCATTGGCCAAATTTCAAGTGCTTAGTCACATGAGGTTAGTGCCTATTGGACAGCATTGATATAGAACATTTCCATCATCTCACAAACTCCTATTGGATAGAGCTGTTCTAGAATGTTATCGTGGGGTGATAATTAAAGCTATTTTCTCTGCTTTATTTTTTTTAATATCTAGATACCTCTCTCTCAAGTAAAGGCTATGAATATTTTGCCTACAATTGATTCTCTAGTGCCCAGCACACAATAAACATTCAATAGGTATCTTATAGCTGATATTATAGTTTTGTTTTAGTTCTGTTAATCTAGCAAAAATTGATTGAGTTGGTAAAGGCCAAAGCTGAAGTATATAATTTTTAAAAAAAAAAGGTAGCAGGGGGCTGGCCCGGTGGCGCACTCGGTAGTGCGGCGCTTGGGAGCATGGCGGCGTTCCCACTGAGGGTTCGGATCCCATATAGAGACCGGTCCGCTCACTGGTTGAGTGCGGTGCGGGCGCGACACCAAGGGTTGCGATCCCGTTGCCAGTCACGAAAAAAGACAAAAAGGAAAAAAAAAAAAAAAAAAAAAGTTAGCAGGTCAACTTACACATACCCTCAACGGACAAACTCTCAAAGCCAATGAGGGCTCCCTACATGCAATATTTAAATTTTTTGAGTTTTAGCTATACATATTGGCTAGATCACTTAAGCAAAGACTTAGGCCTTATCCATAGTCTATTTTATTCAAGAATAAGAAAAAATGCTTACTTACAACTAATTCATTTTATTTTTCCTGTATGGGTTTTTTCTAGTTAGAAGAGTTGAGTAATTTATTTTTAATAGTATTTATATACTCATATACAATAGTTTAACAAATGAAACATTTGTTTAACAAATTAAGTTAATTATAATTTAAAGATTATGGCATTAAGAATTTAGAAAATCTATTTCCTTTTAACATATCTTCAAACCAAAACAATTGCTGCTATATATGGAACAGAAAAAGGTCTAATAATAATCTTGCACTTACACTGCCACATTTTTTCTAATGGTATATTCATCCAAATCGTCATCAGAGCTGCTGTCAGTTGCATCAGAATCCAGACCCTCTTCAACATGAGACAACAGCCCCGTAGCAGACAGTGCAAATCTTTGGATTTCTGCAGATGTACACTGTGCAAAGCCATTTTTTGTATCATCCCACAATTTATTCTCTGCAGTCAATATATTGACTTCTGGTTTAATTTCAGTGCATTCAGGTAAACTGTTATCCAAAACCATGGTAGGTTCATGAAAGATCTTCATTTTGGGGAGTTGATGTTTCATAGAAAATTTCATTTGCTGACCATAGTGCTTAACAACATACTTCGCCAGGAGCATCTGCAAATGTTTCTGAGTTCTTCTAGCCTGGCTAAGTAAAATTTTCTGTTTGCTTACACAATGAAGTAAGCGAGCATTCACCTCCTCCTCTTTTTCAGTAGCTGAGGAATTAATAGGCACATTTGAGTGGCCAGGTCCGATTTCCTTTTGAGCACAACGCAATAAACCCTTTTTAATCTCAGCATCAGTAACTTTAACCAAAAGTGCATTCTTTTGGTACCATTTACAGTTTTGCAGTTGTACTTTATCTACATTAGCATCTTTGGTTATATTTGAATTCAAAATAATTTGTACATCTTTCATGCACTGCCTTGAGGTATCTGATAAAGGTTCCTTTTTGATGAACTCTTCAGAATGAGAAGGGAAGCTTTTACTGAGCTGAATGTTGCTGCCATTACATAGTATGTTTTTCAGCTTATTGCAATTGGGTTTCGCTATTTTCTTTTGTTTATAATTCTCATTGTATTTATTCAATGTAGAATTAGAACTCATTAAAAGAACTGTCTGATAATGTTTTGAAGACTGAGGGGAGCCAAAATGTTTTAAATTCACAAAATTAGTATTAAGAGTCGGTTCAGAAGTTGGAAATCCCAGCATCTGAGAGAAAGTGTCTCTCTTTAGCTTTTCATCTACAGTTCTTGGGCTTTCCATGCATAGCATCTTGTCAGACTCCATGGTACGTGGCAAAGATGAAAAGAAGATACCCTTTGCTGTTGCGTCCCTCAGAGCTGGGGTCATGGCGATTCCTGCAGATAATTACTGGAAACCTAAAATAATGTAAAAATAAATGATCAAATATCCAGAAAAAAAAAGTTTTATGCTTATACTTTTTCCAGGGGCAACATTTTTTATGTTTCTGATTAACATATGAATGGAACCAAACTCCTCCTTTACCTCCCAACTTCCAACATTATCTCAACTAGAACTAAACTGTTCTTCAATCTGACTGTGGGCCTAATATCCAAAATTACAATTAAAGTTGCACACTACCTAGCATAATAAGTATTTGATGAATGTTTGTGGATATAATTACATCTCAGAATTCTATTTCTTAACAATATTTAGTGAGAATGAAAAGTATATATATTCCAACCTGGAATCCGGTAATCATACCTGAAAATGTGACTCAATCCCATGCTTTCAGCCAAAAATATACTAAATAATCTGTTTGTAAAAAGGCCTAAGTGAAACAAAACATAACATATAAATCACTTCACAGCTGTTAAAAATAATGAGATAATGAAAACTCACCTAATCTGCAATATGTACAAATTTTTTCCTGAAAATATATCTGCAATATTTTTTCCTTTTTCGCAAATGGATACTCATTAGTTATTGTAGAAGGCCTTACTACTGACTGGAAAACAGTGGAGATTGTGCCAGATAACCACTAAAGATTTATCCATATTTAAACAAATTTAAGTGTATTTTATCCAAGGAAAACGTATAAAAGTATATATTCTGGTTCGCAGAAAAAGGGTTAGGGTTAGTACCACTGAGATTTATGAAGTCTGAATAGTTAGTAAAAATTTTTTACATCAAAAAGCTTTTATAGATACCTAATACTTAGGAATGATGACACTCCATAATTTTTGTTTCAACACACATGATAGTTGATAGTCATTTAAATGGCCACATTTTCATACTGTATGTCCCCAGATGCTACCTTTACCTCTGTTTCCTTCATTCCTATTCAAAAACACAAAACCAAAAGCTGATTCTTTGCAAAAACTAGTGATAATAATCAAAAAGGAAAATATAGCGTTAAAGTTATTGCTATTCCAGCCAACACCTTAACTTCAGCCCTGTGAGAGACATGAGACAGAGGCACCCAGCCAGTTAAGCAATACCTAGATTCCTGACCCACACAAACTACAAAATAATTTTTTTTTTTTTTTTTTTTTTTTGCTACTGGCCAGAACAGGGATCCAAACTGTTGACCTTGGCGTTATAACTAATAAATGCTTTAAGCCACTAAATTTTGGGGTAATTTGTTACATAGCAATAGATGAGTGCTATACTTGGATATGAACACTTTTAGGCTCCTCCAGTCTCTGGAAGGCCCAACCTATTACAGCTCCTATTCTAGGATTTCCATGAAGTCCCTCTGCACTCTATTGCCAATATATACTTATAAAAAATCCTAGCCTGAATAAGTCTCTCTACTTTACAAACAAAAGAAATTCATGAAAATGAGTATGTCTCCTATAAATAAAAAAGGTTAAATTATGTTCGGTATAGTTTTAGCATAAAATACAAGTAAATTTATTGGAATTATTTAAATTATTTAGATATGTAATCATTGTGTATAACAATGTTTCCCAACTAAATATTCTAAACTACCACTTCTAACTACCTCCGTATTGCATAAACAACTGTACTAACCACTAATTCCTAAGCTCTATGAAAGGTTGGATTTTTGACTATTTTGTTAATGTATCCCCAACATGAAAAAACATCTGTGCTCAATAAATATCTGGTGAGTAAATGAGTGGCTGCCACTATATGCAGAATAAAATCCAAAGTTGTCCTTCCATGGCCTACAAAGTTCTACATTATCAGGTCCCTGACTACTTCACCTTCTACAACTCTTCAAACACTGGCTTCTCTGCTGTTCTTAAAACACGCCAAGCCAGTTCCTGACTCAGTGACTTTGTGCTTGCTATTCTCTCAGCCTGGAACAATTTTCTACAAATAACATGACTGGCTCCCTTACTTCATTCACGTTTCTGCTCTAAGGTCACCTCATCAGAAAGTCCTCCCTGACCAATATATTTAAAATAGCTTCAGCTCCTCACATTAAGACTCTCCATTCCCTTACACTGCTTTATTGTTCTTCACAGTGCTATTACTACCTGACATTGTATTACGTTCTAGGAAACAATACAGTTTAAGGGCAAAAACTCTATTTTGTTTAATGTTCTAATCACCAGCACTAGAATAATACCTGACACAGTAATTGTTATATATTTCTTGACTGAATTAATAAACGAACCAGTGGGTCATGATTTTTAAAGGCATTTCAGAATTTAGGAAGTCACAAGTAGTAACAACACCTATTTCAATTACTATTTTAAAAATAAATGTACAAATACAACAATATATAAAAAGGATAATATGTCACAACCAAGTGTGGCTTACTTCATGAATGCAAAACTGAATCAACATTAAAAAAAAAATTAATCATTAAAATTCACCATATCAAAAGACTAAAAAAGAAAAACCACATGATCGCAATAGATACAGAAAAAGCATTTAACACAATCAATATCCATTCGTGATTAAAAAAAAAAAAATAGCATATTACAAAGAAGAGGGAAACTCCTTAACCTGATAAAAAGCAACTACACAAAAGCTTATAGATCACATCATAATTAATGGTGAAAGCCTGAATGTTTTTGCCCTAAGATTGGGAATAAGGCAAGGTATATGTTCTCACTACTCACATTCAGAGCCATGCTGGAGGTCCTAATTACTGCAACAGGGTGAGAGAAAAAAAGAAATGAAAGGCATACAGAGTAGAAAGTAAGTAAAACTGTCTCTACTCACAGATGACATGATTTTCTACATAGAAAAATCCCAAGAAATCTACTAAAAAGCTCCTAGAAATACTGAGTTTAATAGGTGGCAGACACAAGGTCCACATACAAAAATCATTTATATTTTTATATACTATAAACAAAAACTAGACATAGAAATTTTTAAAACAGTAATAATTCCAATACCTCCCAAAACAGTAATAATTCCAATACTTCCAAAAATATTTAGGTATAAATCTAACAAAATATGTGCATGATCTATATACTGAAAAATATGACACAATTAAAAATATCAAGGAGACCTAAATAAATGTAGCAATCCATGTTCATGGATTAAATTATTCAGTATTGTTATGATGTTAATTATCCTCTGGTTTATCTGAAAGATTAAACACAATTCCAATCAAAATCTTGGCAAGATTTTTGCTGATATTGACAGGCTGATTCAAAGGTTTATATGGAAAGTCAAAAGAACTAGAAAAGCCAAAACAACTTTGAAAAAAGAACAAAGTTGAAGGACTCATACTACCTATCAATTTCCTGTTAAGACAGTGTGGAATTGCCAAAAGGATGGACATATAGATCAATGGAAAGAATAGAGAGCTCTGAAATAGAGAGAGAGAGAGAGAGAGAGAGAGAGAGAGAGAGAGAGAGAGAGAGAGAGAGAGAGAGAGAGAGAGAGAGAGAGAGAGAGAGAGAGAGAGAGAGAGAGAGAGAGAGAGAGAGAGAGAGAGAGAGAGAGAGAGAGAGAGAGAGAGAGAGAGAGAGAGAGAGAGAGAGAGAGAGAGAGAGAGAGAGAGAGAGAGAGAGAGAGAGAGAGAGAGAGAGAGAGAGAGAGAGAGAGAGAGAGAGAGAGAGAGAGAGAGAGAGAGAGAGAGAGAGAGAGAGAGAGAGAGAGAGAGAGAGAGAGACACACACACACACACACACACACACACGGTCAACTGATTTTTTTTTTTTTTTTTTTGACAAAGATGCAAAGGCGATTAAGTGTAGAAAGATTAGGGTTTTTTTGTTTTTTAAAAAACAAATAGTTCTGGAACAATTGGACAAACATATGCAACAAAAATGAACCTTAAAACATAATTCATGTCATATAAAAATGGTCAGGCTCATCACAATGAATCATGGATGTAAATGTAAAACCTAAACCTGTAAAACTTTAGAAAAAAATTTAGAAAAAGATTTTAGAGAAAATCTTTGTGACACTGAGTTAGGCAAAGATTTTTTAGATATGACACCAAAAACATTAAAAATAATAAATAATAATCTGGACTTCCTCAAAATTAAAATAAATACTAAATAAACATTTTTAAAAAGTTATTTAAAACAGAACAGTTTGGGAGCTTCTGACAATATATTCAGAAGATATGTATTAAGGAGTCAGTGGAAATTAGATGTGCATACGACTAAAAGTCACTATGTTTATCACTTGGGTTAACTCTGAGTAATGGTTTTGACCACTATACAGTTTAAAATTGTATTTATTCTTAATTGGGTATTATTTCATTTATATGCATAATGGACAACTGGTTAGAGGCAGAATATATAAGGAATACTGATATGAAATGCATAAAATAATGCATAATAATAATAATTCTATAAATTCATCTCAAGATGATGTCTATTAGTTCCATAAGGTATATTCCATGTGATCAAAATTCTTCTATAGCACTTTAAATGTGTCTCCAGTATTTCAGAAACTATTTTAAAAACAAATCAATGAGAATACCTAGCTACAAGTAAAGCCATTTGGTTTTCATTTGGTGCATAAAGGTTATCCATACCACAATATATAGAGAGAGAAGTGCTCATGAATGGCAGATGAGAAACTATGACATCCTTCAAAACGAAAATTCATAAATTATGGAAATAAGCCAGTTGACTCTTTGTAAAGCAGGAAATAAAGAAATGGCCAACAGTAAGTCATAAAAATAATTTTGTTTATTTTTGGTAGAAGCTAGATTTTTAATCTCTATTGAATATATATTCAATCTAAAACCAAACATTCGCCAATTCAGTTAATACATATTATAAGCAACATGTGACAGACTCTATCCTAGGAACTAGAAAGATGGCCTTGAACATAACAAATAAGGTTTCTATTCTCACAGAGCTTATATTCTAGCAAATGGTAGCTATAGAATAAATTAGAAAAAAAAATCAAGTACATAAGGGTTCTAAAAGTGTCTTTATGAAAATTAAACACAGTATAACAAAGACAATAT